TAAATATAAATAAAAAAATTTATATAAATTTATTTTTTTGTTATAAATAAACATTTTTATTATAAAATAATAAATTACTTTGAATATTTTATTATTTTATTTATAGAAACATTTATATATTTTTTTTAAATTAAGAATAAAATTGTTTTTTTTTGTTTGAATATAATGTTTTTTTTTATATATATAATGTATTTTATTTATAATATTTTTATATTTTTATTAAAAATTAAAATCAGATTTTTTTTTTAACTAAAGAGTTTTTTTACGCATTTTTAGCTCTTTCTTCATTTAATTTTTATTGAATTTATTTTTGTTTATTTGTCATTTTTTATTCCAATATAGAAAATTTATCGACTAAATCCTTTATTTATTATTAAAATTCTAATTAGCTTTTCTTTAAAAAAGATAAATTTGAACTTTTCATCTATTCGCATTCATTTTTTAACTAAGAAACTTAATTTTTACATAAATTTTATATTAAAAATGCTTTATTTTTCCAAAAGACTATCTTATTTAAGAAATTTAATAACCTTTTTTCGAAATTTAGATCTAAATTTTTATTTTTTTCATATATAAAATTATTTTTTTCATTTTAAAAATTGTTTTTTTCATTAATTTATTTTTTTAGTATTTTATTTTATAGATAAAATTTTAAATTTTCGTCTTTTAATCTTTATATTTCATTTTATTCAATATTTATATTTTCTTCTTTTTCTAATAAATAATTTAATTCTTTTATTTATTCTTAAAATTCTTGCTTTATTTCTTAATATATTCGATTTTCTAATTCTTCCGTTTTTTCTTAGAATAAGGCTTTTTCCTTACCCAATTCTTGGTTTTGGCTTTTGAGTATAAAAAGTTAATTTTCTAATTAAAATATTCTGTTTTTTAATTCATTTGGGGTATATATTTATCTATTAATTCTCATTTATTCACATTCTTGTTTATAAAAAAGCATTTCTTATTAAATTTACTCGTTTAGAACTTATTATTATGTTATTTTATTCTTTAAATAGGTTTCTGAATTAATCAAAATTTATATTTGTCTTTAAAGAGCTTCGAAAATTTAATTTTATTAATAACATTTTTTTAATTTTTAATTATTTCGAAATTTATTTAAGGGTTAATTTATTAATTTGCTTAAAAGTTTATTTAATCTATATTTTATTGAAAAGTTTCTATATGGGAGCTTTATTTTTAAATATTTTCTATTTATAAATTTTTAGAAGAAAAATCTATATAAGAATTGTTTTGTTTTTCAATATAGGAATTCTGATTTTAAATACATATATGAGAATTCTAGTTTTAAATATCAATTTGGGAATTGTAGTTTGAGATATCTATATGGGAATTCTAATTTTATATATCTATATAGGAGTTTTTTTATTGATAATTTTCTATATATGGGTTCTTTAGTTAATAATTTTCTAAAGATAAGTTTTTCTATTATATATTATTTTCATTTTAAGAAATATTTTATTGATGATTTTCTTTTAAAAATTTTTATATTTAAATATTTTTAAATTCAGCTTTTTACTAATTTTATATATAAGTAGAATTCGGATCTATGTTTTCATTAAATAAATATTCTTTTTCATATTTTTATAAGAATTTTTCTCTTTCTTATTTTTTTTAGAAATATAATTAATCAAATAATTAATCGTCCATATTTTATATATATTTATTTTTAAAATTTTATTATTATATAGATAAATATTTATTTATATATATATATATATCTATATATATATATATATATATATATATATATTGATTTATTTATTATAATAAAATATTTTTTACAATACTTTTATATAAATATTTAAAATAAAAGATGTTAAATTAGTAATATAATAATAAAGATGATTTTAAATAAATTTTCAGAAATTAATAAGAAAGGTATATAAATGAATTATTTTTTTATTTTTTATTTTTAGTATTAAGATTTTAAAATAAACTTCAAATGAAATTTAATATCTTAATAAAATAAGTTAAAATAAATTTAAAAATGTAAAAGAAACTTATTCTTAACAATTAAAGAATTTCGATAAAATAAAAAAAGATTTAGATATTTTACATAAAACTATATTTAAGATTGTTTATTGTGAAGAATAAATAAATAAATTATTAGAAAAAAATAACTAATAATAAAATTCAATTAATGAAGAAACAAAAGAATAATATTAATGAGATAATATATATATATATATATATATATATATATATATATATATATATATATATAAATATATATTTATATTTTTTTAATTTTTTTCTTTTTTATTTAGATTTATTACATTTTAATAAAATAATAAAAAATAAATTATAATTTTATATTATTCAATATTATCTATTTTTTTATCATTAATAAAATATAAAATATTTCATTAAATTTTTAATATTCAAAAAATGTATAATTTGCATTAAATAAAAGTAGTAATTTTTTATTAATATAATGGTTCTTAATATTCCGGTTCTTAACTATAAAAAGACTAATAAATAAATACTGTCGAAAAGCACATATTAAGCGCTTTAGGTAAATCTAATTTAATCGGCAATACAAAATTCAAAAATTATTAAAAAAAGCTTGAATGGGGAAGAGGTGCTAGAACAGATAAAGGAGTGCATGCATTAGCGAATGGAATAAATTTAAAATTATTTATCGCTTTAGAATATTTAGATAATGACAAAAAGCTAAACAAAGAATTAATAATAAATAAGATGAACTCTAATTTACCTGGGGATATTTAAGTTTTTTCAATAAAAGAAGTTTTTTAAAAATTCGATATCAGGGCTTTTTGTAAATATAGGGTTTATGAGTATATAATGCCTCTTTTGTTTACAAAGGAAAAACTCTGAAATTAATAATGATAATGATTTAATTAAAAGAATAAAGGAAATCGCAATTAAATTTATAGGAACACATAATTATCATAATTATACAAGAAAAATGAAACCGAAAGAACCTTAATGTCAGAGGAATATTAAAAATATAGAAGTCGATTTTTTAGAAAAAAATACTAAAAAATATATAAAATTTGTAATATAAGGATAATCTTTTATATATCATTAAATTAGAAAAATGATAGGTATAATAGTTATGATGATATATAAAAATTTACCTGATTCATTTATTGAAACTAGTTTTTGTCATAATGTAATACATATATGGCTAACACCGTCTAATGGACTTTTTTTAAATAGAATGGTATTCGAAAGTTATAATAATATTCGTGATATACCGGAAAAAATCTGTTTTGATGAGAATGAAGAAAAGAAGATTTTAGAATTCAGAGAAAAACTACTAGATGGGATTTTGACAGAAAAATAGTTTGATCAAGTGTATTAAGAATGGATTTAAGATGTGAGTAATGATAAATATTCAATAGAAGATGATTGTGGGTCTATACATGGAGATTATTGAAAAATATAATATATATATATATATATATATATATTTTATTTTTCGAAATATATAAATAAATTATAAGAACCGAAATATATTTTTCAAATTTATAAAACAAAACAAAACAAAAAGATTTTTTTTTATATAAAATAAAAAATAATAATAAAAATATTTAAAAAGAAAAATAAAAAAATGGGTGACTTTTCATTAACAACCTTTACATCAAGTGGAAAATTAAACTAAATTGAATACGCTTAAAAAGCAGTAGATAATGGAGACACAGCATTAGGTTAATTTTTTATAAATAAATATATATATATATATATATAATATATATATATAATTATATATATTTATATATATATATATATATATTTATCTTTATATTTATATATTTTTATTATTAGGAATAAAAGCAAAAGATGGAGTAGTTATTGCCGTTGAGAAAAAATTATCATCAATCTTAGTAGATGAAAATAGTTATTAAAAAATATAGAATTTAGGCGAACATGTAGGTGTTACATATTCAGGTTTAGGTCCCGATTTTCGAGTTTTGAATTAAAAGGCAAGAAAAACAGTACAGTAATATTGGCTTTAATACCGAGAAAATATTTTCGTGACTTCCTTATGTAGATAAACAGCCTCTACTGTTTAAGAATATACACAATCAGGAGGTGTAAGACCTTTTGGAGTTTCATTATTAGTCGCTGGGTATGATTCAGATGGACCTCATTTATATTAAGTAGATCCTTCAGGAGCTTATTATGGGTGGAAGGCTACTGCTATAGGAAAAAATATGAAAAACGCAAAAACATTTTTGGAAAAAAGATATTCGCCAGAAATGGGTATTGAAGATGCAATACATACTGCTCTTTTGACACTAAAAGAAGGATATTAAGGATCTATGAATGCTAGCAATATTGAAGTTGGTGTAGTAAAAAGTGATGGTAAATTTAAAGTACTTAGTGTAGAGTAAATTAAAGATTATTTAGAAGAAGTCGAGTGATTAAATATAAATAAAAATAAATATAAATATATATATATATATATATATATATATATATATTTATTTATATGCTTTTTTTTTTATAATAATAATAAATTCTTAATTATTATATATTTTTTTTTTCCTTCTTATAAATTTTCCATTTTTTTTTTTAAAAAAAAATTAACTTTTAAAATAAAATTATAATAGAATGTGAAATAAATAAAAATATGAATCCAATATTTATGCCATATTATAAAATTTTTAAAAAATAAGAAATTATAAATGAAGATTTTAATTATAAAATATAAAATAATCAATAATAAGTTGAAAATTCTCAAAAATAATTATAGATTTGTTAAAAAGTGAAAAATAATAAAAAGTATATAAAAAATTTGTAACACTCAATTGAAAATAATGAAAATTCTGAATAAAATATCTATAAAGATGAAAATATATATTAAAGTGAAAATTCTGAATAAAAAGATAAAAAAGTTGTTTTTTCTGATTTTTCAGATGAAACAGATAGCTCAGAGACTGATTCTTCATAAAATTATTAAAAGAAATATATTTTATAAATGGAAAATTATTTAGATTTATCAAAAGACGAAATTCCGGAAGGGAAAATAATTAAACTTTTAAGTACGAAATTAAAGTTTAAGAATTTTTTAACAAAGGCTATTTTTTTCTCAACGGCCGATTTAAATATAGTAAAGAAGTTTAATATCGGGAGCTTAGTTAAAAAATTTAATCTTGAAAAATAACAACTTTTGGATAAAGTTTAGGCTATTTTAAATAGAAAAAATAAAGAAATTATTTATTTTACAAGCTGGATTGAATTAAAATAAGGAAAAAAAACAAATAACTATTAGAAAGCCTAATAGTTTATTAACAGGCATGTAAAACAGTTGGAATAGAAAGATAAAATAAGATTTATGTAAATTTTTTGACTGAAAATTAATTAAAAATATTATAAATATAAATAAATGTAAAATCTTTTTATTAATTATAATCAAAAAATATGATTTTTTGTATATTTTTAATGAAAAAAGACTATTAATAAGCTAATAATAAAATTTAATTTGTGAATTGTTATTAATAATAATAAAATAAAAGAGACAAAAATTAAAATTAATAAATAATAAAAAGTCAAACAATAACAGAATGAAAAATTCAATAAAGAATATATGTATATATTATATATATATATATATTTATATAATTATATAATATAATTTAATACATTTATTCATTTAAGTATTATTAATTCTAATATTTTTATTATTTCTTTAAAAGAAGGTCTTTTTTACGGTTCTTTATCCTTTTAAATTTATTAATTATATATTAAATATAATTATTACCCAACATCTTTTCATCAAATTAGCTAATGTTTCTGGCGTTTTTTTTGGTATACTAGGTCTTAAGTCATTTTAAATAACTTCTATTGATACAGTTTATCCTGATTTATCTTATATATATATATATTTATATTAATTATTCATGTATATAAATACTATATATATTTATAATACTTCTATAAGGAGGTTCTCTGGATGCTATTTCCCATAAAATAATACCATAACTAAAAACATCTGCTTTTTCAGTATATGAATTACTAGAAATAACTTCTGGAGCCATCCATTAATATGTTCCTATTTTATTAGACATATAATTATCAATTGCTTTAGTCCAACCGAAATCTGCTAATTTACACCTCAAATTTTCATCTAGTAGTATATTTAAAGATTTTAAGTCTCTATGTATAATAGGAGGAGTACATTAATGCAAATAATGAACGCCTCTTGCAGTATCTAGTGCTAGTTTCCTTTTATCTTCCCAAGAGAGACTAATTTCTGGAGTTTATAATAAATTCCATAGACTACCTCTTTAACATAACTCAAGAATAATACAGAAATTAGGAGGCTTAGTACATGCTCCTAAAAACATGACTATATTAGGGTGTCTTAAAGCCTCCATGGCATGGCATTCGGAGAGAAAATCTCTTATTATAGTTTCATTTATTTAATCTATTTTAAATTTTTTGACAGCAACTGTACATTCACGCCATTTTGCTCTGTATATTATACCATAGCCACCTTCATTTATCTGTTTTTCAAGGTGGATTTCATTGAAGTCTATTTCGAGGTTGGAATTGAAGGTTCGGAAAGAGATTTATTTAGGGAAAAATTATTCAATGTATTTTATATCGAATTTATTATTGTCGGGTATTTCGGATTTCAAAAGAAGATATTTTTAAAGATCTTTTAGTTGTTTTTGGTATTCATTTTCTTTTTATTTGTAGATTTTTTATTGTTTATCTTGACTTTTTTATAGGTTTTGGTTTATTTTTTTTAAATTTTCAATCTCTTTTTACAGTTCGCTAAGTTTTTTATAATTATCAGGTAGAAAAATATCTTCTTCGTCATCGGATTTTTATTAGAAAATTTCTAGTTAATTTTTTAAGTTTTTATTAGATAATATTAATGTATGATAAGAACCACATTCAACCTAAATTAAAAATATTATAAATATAAATATAAATATATTTATATATATATATATATATATATATATATATATATATATATATTTATAATTATATATATTTATACATTTTTTTATATATACTTTTAAATTATAATTATTATTTTCTTGTTAGATATTTTATATTTAATAGGGTTAAGTTATTATTTTTTTTTTACTATTTTTTCCTGTTATTTAGTAATAAGTATTAGAACCCCATCCATATATGCTTTTATTATCTATAGATATAACTATACAGTGATTTTTTCCAGTTTGAATCTAACCTATAGAGGGAAGATTGTTTATTTTTTTTGGATATTCATAAAATATGTTTAGGTTTTCGTTACAGAGTTGGCCGTCTATATTTTCTCCCAAGCAATAAACATCTCCTTTAGATGAAAGTAGCAAACTTAAGCAATCTCCGGCTTTTACATCAACTATAGTATCCTATTAAGTATCTAATTCAGTGATATTTTAGAATATTAGACCTTCATGGACACCAGCAACGCCCCAAATGTAAGCTTTTTAACCTATAACACATAAAGTATGGGTTAATCCACATGAAATATTTTTGATTTATTACTTATTGGGCATTTATATTTAACTAAATTCGCATTAAGTTACATTATTAGCATGACCTAAAGCATATGTTTCACCATATCCAGTTGAAAAAAGCCTGTTTTTATTAGATAAAGCAATCGTATGTAAAGTTCCGCATTATATTTATGTAATATACTCATCATTTTCTAATAAAATATTAGTCAAAATATCACTTCCACCATAATCTGAGTTTTTTAAATTTTAAGAGGATAATTATTTTATTTTATTTAATTAATCAATTGTATTATCTTTTGATTAATTATTTAAGTTTTCTACTAAAATATCTTCAAAATTATTATGTGCGTTTCTTTTTTAATTACCATATGGTAATAATGAATATATTAAAATAGGACTATCTTAATTATCATATGAGCCTATTCCTAATTATCCTTTTAGATTTAAACCCCAACTATAAACTTACCCTTTATCTATAAATATAAATATATATATACAAATACACATATATAAATATTTTAAAAGGATATGTTTATTTATTTTATATATATATATATATATATATTTATATAAATATATATATCTATATAAATATATTATAATACATAATTTTAATTTTTTATACTTGATATAGCGAATGTATGATCTGATCCACATGATATTTATATAATTTTTATATCTTTTAATTGCTTTTTTTTTTTTATTTATTTATTTATTAGAAAGTTTTTTACAATTAATAAAGTTGGTTTATATATTATATTTGTATTTTATATTCCTAATTAACCGTATTTATTTGAGCCACAAGCTTGTACTTGATTTTTAGCTTTTATTAATATATATATAAAAATATGAATTATATTTATATTATAAATATAAATAATTAAATATAAATAAATAAATATTTGTATATATATATTTATAATTTTTACAATTTAACAATATTGTATGTGTTTCACCTGCACTCACATTTAAAATTCCATTTCCAAAATATCTATATAATATATATATATGTATATATATATTATATTATATTTTTTAAACTAAATGCATTATTATGCAGAAACTGAAAGTTATCCATAATTTGAGCATCCCCAACCTAATAAATACTTCTATTCTTATTTTTCTAAATTATATTATGTGTTTAATCCACTTTGACTTCTGGAAAGAATATTTATTTCTCGAATAGGAGATTTGGAGGTGTCAGTATTTATTCTGTAAGATTATTGATATTTTTTAATTTATTAATAATTAATATTTTTTATTATATGTTTTTGTATGTTTTCTTAGTTTATTTCTGTGTATTATTATTTCATATTTTTTTTAGTTTATTAATAAAAATAATTTTTTTTTTTTTAAAAAAAAAAAAAAAATTTAGTTGATTTTTTTTTCAAAAAGTTTTTTTTTATAAATGTATATTTGATTTTATTTTTTTAATAAAAAATTTTTAAATATTTATTTGCGAAAATAAAATGATTTAATCAAGTTTATATTTATTACTAGATATTTTTTATTATATATAATTTTAAATCAAATATATATATAATTTTAAAAATAAAATTATTAAATTTTATTTTTTAAAATAAAATAAACTAAAGTTTTAAAATATAATAAATCTTTATATTCTATTTCAAAAATAAATATAATAATATATTAAAAAGTATAAAGTTATTTTAAAAATCTTTATGTATTTATTTGTAAAAATAAATTAAAATTAATTAAATAAAAAAATGATTAATTCAAAAAATATTTTGAAATAAAATTAAAATAAATTAATATTAATATTTTTATATTAATATATTAATTAAACAAAATAATATTTAATTCATTCACAACAATTATCTTTCTTTTTTAAATAAATAAAAATTATAACAATAAATATATATATATATATATATATATATATATATTTATATTATTTACTTGATTTTTATTTATTTATTCCTAATTTATTCTACATAAACAATAATTACATTTTTAATTTAATTTTTTTTAAATTTATTCCCTATTTTTCATTCTATATTTAGAATGTAATATGTCATAATTATAATTTCCTTAATTTAAAAATTAATTTTAATCTTTAATTTTAAAAACTGATTTAATATAAGGTAAAGAAATTTTTTGTGCTCTAAAATATTCTTTAGATTCAGATTCATTTTTTTTTGAAAAGAATTCAATAATGAATTTTTATTAGAAGTCTTTATATATGTTTATTTAGAAGATTATTCATTATCTTTTTTTAAAAGATTTTATATTCTTTTAGAAAAATGATAAGCATTTATTTTATTTTAATTTTATATCCCTTTATTTAATTAAATTAATGATTATGAATAACTTAATTGATTTTATTCTTTTTATTATTAATTATTATTTAATTTTCTTTATTGATTTTAAGATTATTAACTTAAATTTTTATTATTATAAAGTATATCGTATTAAAAACTTTAATATATTTATATAAATTTATAAATAATATTACTTTTCTGTTTATTTAAATTATGGTTTAAATAAAATTATATTCATTTTATTTTTATAATTTCCTTTTTTATTAGAAAAAAATAAAATTTAATAATTTATTATTTATTTTAAAAATTGTTAAAAAAAAATTTAAAAGATTATTTTAGTGTTTAAAATATAACTTATTTTATATTTATTGCTTTTTTAAAAAAATTAAATGTTAATTGATAATGGTTGTAATAATTGGTTTACTTTTAGTACTTTGTAATT